TTATGGATTTATATTCATTTAATATAAGGTCTTTAATATTAAATGTCTCCCACTATTTTAATTAAACCCCAGATTAATTGTGAAGATCTTATTTTCATAATGGGCTTGAAGTCTAATAAACATATCTCACACCCCAATATTATGATCGTATGAGATATTTTATCGGTAGTCAACTTTTGACAATTGTATCCCTATACAACCTTCAAGATGTTTTGCCTCACTTTTCTTATATACCTCAATATTATGACCGTATATAATACTCAGTGTCAAATTAAACCCAACAAACCTCCATGATAATGAATTATCAAAATGTCCCACGACTCATGGTCAACTCAAAGACAAGTCCATCTCACGGGTGTCACTATACTTAGTAGAGATCACAGCTTTTAAGTACAAAGTCACTCCACGACTCATGGTCAGTGACTAAGCACCGTAGCTTCGTCATGTCATCTACTTTTGATGGAAGGCATGGATTAATTAGTCCAACTAATATAGTCCATATACATCAATTTGATATAGAATTAATCATATTAATTCTTTAGGGTTTATCTTTTATCTCATCTTTTATTTATGTTTATTTATCGCATCATTCATCACATGAAACGCAAACATAAATAAACTTAACATACATCTAATGCATGCATACGGTGGGATGATCATGACCTTGCCTATTCGGCCCATTCGAGCCAAAATGGGTCTATGCCTATGTACGTGATAAAACAAATAAATAGAACTACTTCTATTACAATTTATTTTATTTACCCGTAAAAGCACAGGCCTTCGAGATTTACAACTTGTAAAATTACCCACACACGCGTGGGCCTTTCGCATCGAATGGTCTTCTACCTTATCTAATCTTTTAACGATGCAATAATTTAAAATTTTACAAATCATAACTCAAGAGACTCGCAGGTCTCGATAAATTACAATCATTCAATCATATTGAATAAAATTGCAATCATTCAATTATTATGAATAAAAGGCTCATGATCATCCCGAAATTAACCATTCATCACATGAATTCAACCATATAAATTTATTAATTTAATATGTTGATGTAGTAATGAATCATATTAAGTCAAAACAACTCGAATTAATCCACACGACTGGTCACACGACCAATGTGGCTTGCCACACGACCAGTGTGATATCACACGACCGACTCACATGACACGTGTGAGTTCACACGAGTCGTGTGTCATGATCCACACGACTCGTGTGAAAATGCCGTAAGCAAATTAAAATTTCTGAACATCACACGACTGGTCACACGAGTCGTGTTGCGTCACACGACCGGTCACACGACCCGTGTCATGTCACATGACCCGTGTCATGTCACACGACCAGTCACACGACCCGTGTGATTTCAAACACTATACTCGTGTTTAATACCAGTTTGTGTTTTAGCTTTTAAATATGTTCATCTCATAAACATATACTAATCAAAATCTGATTTTAAAGATGCAAAACGTGACATGTGGCTCTGATACCACTGTTGGGTTCGATATACTGTACGGAACATAATAAGCAGCGGAATTTTAAAAATTTTATAAGTATTTATCTCATAAATACTTATTCCGTACATAAGTATAACGATATAACGTATAAGCATCGTTTAAAATCTAGTAACATTTACTAATTTTGATTTGTGAGATAATTTCGAATTAACCCACTACATTCTTGTATAAACCCAGAGATTGCATCTCATGGATTTCTTTTAAAAAT